GCATTGTGCAAAGAACCGATACTACAGTATCCGGATTTTACGAAACCTTTCGTTATAACTACCGACGCATCCGGATATGCAATAGGCGGTGTCCTGAGCCAAGGGCCGATTGGAAAAGACCTCCCTATAGCCTACACCTCCAGGTTACTAAATAAGGCCGAGCGAAACTATTCGACTATAGAAAAGGAACTATTAGCAATAGTTTACAGCGTAAATTTCTTCAGGCCTTACATATACGGTAAGAAGTTTAAATTGGTCACGGATCACAAACCTTTGGTGTGGCTACATTCAGTAAAAGACCCATCTTCCCGTCTTGTCCGATGGCGTCTAAAACTATTAGAATACGAGTATGAGGTATTATACAAAGCAGGAAAAATAAACGCCAATGCAGACGCCCTCTCGCGAAATCCTACCCCAGACCCTATGCCCGAAGTCGAACGAGTCCTCCCTCTCTCACAAATACAAAGATTGTCCGACTCCAATGAATCCCTATTCACCGCCAAGAAGAAGCGAGGCGCAAAAACTCCACGAATCACAAACAAGCTGGATTGCGGCGAACAGCGTCCCTCACCGACCCCCGATAATTCGAAATCAGAGGAAAAAAACTCGCCCCCTAGTTCCAGCGAGGACAGCGACTCGGAAAACGAAACCGATAGCAACTCCAGTTCCAGTAGCGAGGAGTTATTCATAAACGTAAACAGTCCTTTCATTCCACGGGCCGCCGTGAGGCCCCGCGTGATAAATATCCCGGACAATTTCGCGACCCGAAAAGATAACCTTGTCATTTTCATAACGCAACAAGGAACACCGATCGACAAGGGAGCCCAAATATTGCAAGTAGCGAACTCCGTGCCGATGACCAGAGATGCAGCTTTGGGCAGGGCAAGGGTAAGTCGCGAGGGCACCCGACGCGTAATTTCTCTCGCGGTAAAGGAGAGGATTTCCGGCGTACCGAAAAGGAAATAATAAAAGAAGCAATACACGCGCTACTAGACGTTATCCGAGAATTGGGCTTGCAATCGATCTCGATCAGTTAAGACAGACGGAAAATGCAGCGGCACCCAGTCAGCGACGCATACGGTTCATGGGACGACGTGATCGTGCAAGCCTCAGTACGAATCACGATACGACAATGGAGCTGCCCGTTGGATACAATAACAATGAAGTGATACTTCCATCCGGCACTCGCTGTCCCGTAACGACAGGCGAATGCATTGATGCCGACGGCGCCTCCCCTTCTGGACAATCCTGCCAATTGACAACTGTCACTTTGGACGATACGATGTTCTCTACGAAGGAATAGCATATCGATTGTCGCCCAGCACTCCCAAGAGGAAGCGCCAACGATTTATACAGTCACGGCGCGTGACACAACCTTCGCATTAGCAAGGACAACCGAGACCAACGTATGCGGATACAACCTTTGGCGAACGGAACATCCCAAGCTGTGTATCCTCGAACGAGGCCCGAACGGACATTCAAAAGCCGTTCCAAGGTCAGAATCGACAACCTCGACATCTTCACATATGTGAATTCAAAATTTATATACGTCGAGAAACACCTGAAAACCCAGCTGACCCAACTATACAAGGATATTATGGAGCAAAAATGTGCACTGGAAAGGCAGATCCTCCTCAACGCACTTTCTCTAGCAAGCATAGCACCTGACGAAATGGCGCATCGAATAATGAAGTCTCCAGGTTATACCGCCATAACTGCAGGTGAAGTTATACACCTCATCAAATGTATACCTGTCAAATGCCGCCTACGACCTACCGAGGAGTGCTACAACGAACTCCCCGTCACTCATCAAAATAAGTCACTCTTCCTCTTACCAAGATCGAAGATACTTACTAAAGCCGGAACATCGAGGGATTGCAATGAACTATTACCAACTCTATACCAAATACACAACACCTGGTATAGACTAACACCGAAACCCGTGGAATCGGTGGCACCGCCTACTATCAGGCCTCTAACCAAACCCTCATGGAAGTACGTAAGCCCGGATTCACTCGCTTCCAGTGGTATCTATACGAACGAAGATCTTGATCGTCTTCGCGACCATATCATGTTCCCCGTGGAAAAACCCTCCATGCTCCACACAATCGCCAGGGGAGCAATGGGACAGGAAATTCCTACAGGCAGTTTCTCCTTGCTGAATTTATTAGACGAGAAATCTCTCGACCGAATAGCGGAAAATACCGGAGCCAGGCTATGGAAGGGATTTATAAGCTTCGGATCCGCCAGCGCCGGAGTACTTGGCATCTTCGTTACCGTACGGTTGATAAAATTAATAATCGACACCCTGATCCATGGGTACGCACTCCACTCGGTGTACGGATGGAGTCTACATCTACTCGGAGCCATTTGGACCTCGGTGACCAACGTTCTCCTACACCTTGGTAGATCAGCGGACGGAGAACAGGACAACGGACGAGAACTGCTACACCAGAAACCCCCTCCAACGAACGAAGAAGAAACACCCTTAACCCTGCCCACACAACAAACCCCTTCGATTAACGAATCAGACAGTGGCAAAGTGTGTGCAAAAACTCACCCTACGAGTGTTCCCCCAATGAAAGATTACGGCGAACTAAATAAATATTTACATAATCAATGTTAAGTTAAGAACCTAATCGTAGCGCATAGAAAACTAAGTCCAAAATGTTGGAACATTAAATTCCAACATTTTTATTTTAAGGGGGGAGGTGTCACGTCCGGCCGTATAAATTTTTTCGTTTACTCCAAGTTCCTTAAACGCTATTTGAAAAGCGCGCCAAGCCGGCCATGACGCTTAACTCCGCCTAGAAACTAAGCGTGGCGCTTCGTAGCGCCTAAGGATCTCCCACCACGGTGAGAGCCCCTACTCCGGAGAGTTCCCCCTCTCCAGGCCGCCGCAGGCCCGAGCCGCCGAAACGAAGGACCTCAGAGCAGTCCCGAATTTCGGCAGTTCTCTGCGCGACACCGAACAGTATAGTCGCACTCCTAAATTCTAACTCTAAGTCCAAATTCTAAATCCTAACTCTAATTCTAAAATTCTAACTCTAAGTATAATATTCTAACTCTAAATTCTAAGTCTAAATCTAAATTCTAATTCTAAGTTTTAGTCTCGAATTTTGTACTACTATACGAATAAATCAGTGTATTCATGTGTGAAAACTAGTGTTCAGTATTCTTCAAAACTTCCACTCCCGTGATAAAATACGATAGCGTTTAAATTTGTCATACGGCGTTTGAATTCAGAATAATTCAAACTGTGTTTGGAGCGGACCACCGCTCATCACAGTCAGAATTAACATTCTCAGCATTTGCCAAAATAAGGAATTGATAGTGAGGTCCGCCGCATATCAACCCTCCTTATTTGAGTAATCATTCAGAGGATGCATCAAATTCAATATGCCTAAGACGCGACGCGCAGGAAGGAAGAATCAATTACGAAAACTAAACCGACTTTATCGCGAATCAGCGACCGAGGAATATTCTCAATTCCTCGGAGTGGAATATCAGGCCGATCCTGAATACGAGAACATTTTCAACATTAAAAATAATAACAACGACGAACTCCTACAGTGGAAGTGCATACCAATAACGTTCCAACCACGACGCCTGCCGCCGCCAAACATCCCAGTGAACGACCCTCGCCGCACGCACTACCTCCAAGTACGAGCCGACACGATCAAGAAAGTGCTACTAAAGGTAAGTGAAATTCACGTTAACCTAAGGAATCGCGCGTGTTAGCAAATTCAGAGACGCTTCTACCACGTGGAAGAGAACATTCTAGAAAAATCTCCGACGCATTTTTCCTCTTTTCCATCGTCACTGCGGAAGCTATAAAAAAAAGGTCGGGCTATAAAACTAGGGTCGACCACCACATGCGGTGCCACTCTCGGAATTCTAACACGGAAAAACGCAAATAGTTCAATCTCTTAAAAATCTTGTGTCTCAAGAAATAACTTCGTAAATCCGTACAACAAAGTAGTCATTTAAACAATAATCAATTGAGAACACTTTCGATTTACCAACATTACCGACGATATACCGACATACGTTCTTTTACCGACGTTATCGACAATATACCGACATACGTTCTTTTACCGACATTACCGGCTATATACCAACATACGTTCTTATACCGACATTACCAACCATATACCGACAACGTTCTTTTACCAACGGGTTATCGACACCTTACTGGCACCTTACCAGTGTTTTACTGAACAATTACCGACGGTTTTGCCGACGACTACTAACTTCTCGATAACTGCCGGGTTCACCGAAGATCTACGAGCGAATGACGCATTATCAATTCGATTACGCAACAAACACAAATGTGCCCACTCACCCTTAGAGGTATAACTCCTCCTCCAGAAGTTAATCTCTTTGTACCGTTTGAACCCTTATTCTATTGCCAAGTTGGTGTCGGGTACATCCATTTTGAGACTAAGGCAGCTCTCTGCATTTCATGCTACTCCACCTTACCTAGAGTCTCGAAATTACTTTGGACAAGGATTCGGAAGCATACTCTAATCATAGGCGGAACACCTATCGGAATAAATTGCGGAGTCTGCAACTTCCGACTTACCCTCACGCGAATCGGTGATTTGTGCGAGCTTTGTCAGTTTACGTACGAAGATTACTTACGCAACCCCAACGACGTTTCGCATAGAGCAATCGACGAAGCTATCTTTATTACAGTAGAGTCACAGGTAGGTCCCACGCAATAATCCGATCACCTCAGTTCCAGCGCGAATAACCTCAGATCGCGGGTATCCCCGGGGAGAATCGCATAGATTCGCGTACCCGTAATAGCGATCGTGTCTCGTGGAAAAAGCCGAGCTCTGCATTCAAATTTTCGCAGCCGCGACCCCACGAGACGTAACAGTAGTCGCGCCATATAAGGAGGTTCGGCTGTTACGGGCCTGCAACGCAGAACAGCTATTCGCATTATATCGGGTTACCGCACAATATCTTTTGATGCGGCGTGCTTGATTGCCGGTATGCCTCCGTGGCCCTTGGTCGCATCTTGTCGAAAAAGGGTCTATCATCGCGTTTCGGAGATGAGAGATGACATGGATTGGCAACTACATTACGTTGCAGAAATTAAACAAGAAGAAGAAGTGTTAATGATGCGGCAATGGGAAATAGCGGCTGGACGTCATGGAGCGCTGGGAGAACTAACCAGGATGGCCTTGAGACCGGTTCTAGATCAATGGTGCAAGAGGAAGTTTGGATACGTGAATTTTCATCTCACGCAGATATTGTCGGGACATGGCTGTTTTGGCCATTATCTTTATAGGATGCAGAAACGATGGTCACCGATGTGTCAGCAGTGTGTCAGACCTGATAATACGAGTAAGCATACATTGATCTTCTGTAGTGAGTGGATTATAGGACGTCAAAGACTGGTGAGTGCTTTAGACATTGACAGTGACTCATTAAGCTTAATGAACATTATTAAAGAAATAGTTGTGTCAGAGGACAAGTGGACTGCCTTTAGTGTTTTTGCTCACACTATTATGAGTGGTAAGGAGGAGGAAGAGAGGAGTTTGCGGGCTGCTCTCCTCTCACCCACCTCTGATTAGTGGAGGCTGACATGCTCCTTCTGAGTGTGCTAGCCAATATTGTATTTGTCGAACACTCGGTTCAATTAATCGCGATAACCCACATTGAAGATCGGCAGGTATTGTAGATGGGGCATCTGCATACCATTGCACGCTGCCTTTAATGTGGGCTGGATGGATCTGTATCGCACGTGGCACAGATCTCATCCAAATAGTTGGTCCATGTTAGCTTAAACTCAGTGCGTTTATAAACGCTCCTTGGGGACTGCCTGGAAGTAATGCGATAGCGGTTCCCAGGTAGTCTCCTTAAAGGTTAGGTCGCCACACGACGGGTTTAGTGGGTCGGGTTAGGATCTTCTGTCCTCGCCCATCTCCACATAACGAAGCCTCTCCCCCGAGGTGGAGTATGTGTTAAGCACATTCCCGTCGAAAAAGCCAGTCCAGAGGATATCTCCCCCAGCCTGACCTCCACCGCCCCCGGCCCTGGGGGTCGACCTTCATCGCCTCGGTGGTCTCCATCTGCGTCCCCTGGTCTCGCCACCTTTTGGCGAGATCAGAGGGCGTCTGCGTCCTCCGGCTCCGGACTTCTTTTCCGGAGGCGGAGGGCGTTTGCGTCTCCTCGTCTCGGGTTTCCCGAGCAAGGCAGTCCTGGAGTTTTCTCTCCAGGGCCGCGTTGTCTTGCTCCGAGATCTCCAGCCTCTCCTCCATGAGGTCCATGCATTTCTGCATCCTCATGAGGCAGGCTCTCCATTCCGCCAGTCTCCCGCAACTGATCTTCGTTGCTTTTCCCTCTTCTGTGCTATCCTGCACTGCCACCATCTGCTCGATGGTATCAGAGCTATCCCTCCTACTTCGGTTCAGCAGGCAGGACAGCATACCTCCTGTTTCTTTCCCTCCGTACGGCCTGTGCGAGTCCCCAGACCCCAGGGGGTCAAGGGATCCACACGAAGCCGCCATAGACCCTTCATCCTCCATCGTCTCCATCGCCTGCCCGTCGTACGTTGACGACGGGGCGGAGGCCGGGACGATACCCCCCTCCCCGCCGGGCCCTGGGGCATCCGATTCCCCTGGGCCGGTAAGTTTCTTCCTTTGGGTCCTTCCTTTCATGTTTGTTTTTGGTTTTTTTACTTGGTGGCCTTCCAAGGGTGGTGGGTCGAAACCCTGAGGCCCCACCAGGCCTTTTGTACCTCTACAAGAGGTACAGACCGCTCTTGGCACCCCTCGCAAGGCTATTCCCTTGCGAAGGGTGAGCCCCCCACCACGACAAGGTGGCGGTCCACGGGAGGGATGTGCTGGTTTACCTAGACGACATTGTGATCGCCAGTTGCACGTTTGCGGATCACCTCCAACATTTGCGCGAGGTTTTCCGTCGCTTAAGGGCTGCCAAACTGCGCCTTAACACCGAAAAGTGCCACTTTAGCCGGAGCAGCCTGAAGTACCTGGGGCACATCATCGACTGCCGGGGCATCCATACCGACCCGGGCAAGGTCAGCGCCATCACGGGATGGCCCGCCTCCACCACGCTCCGGCGAGTCCGCCAGTTTTTGGGGATGGCCTCGTGGTACCGCAGGTTCATCCCCGAGTTCTCTGCCGTGGCCGCACCTCTCACGAGTCTCACGAAAAAGAACGCACGGTGGGTCTGGGGAGAACCGGAAGAACAAGCCTTCCGACGACTTAAAGAGGCCCTGACTACCGCACCGGTGCTCGCCTGTCCGGACTTCAGCCGCCCCTTCCACTTGCAGACGGACGCCAGCGCCTACGGACTAGGGGCCGTCCTCACACAAGAATTTGAGGAAGGAGAACGCGTCATCGCCTACGCTAGCCGAACACTCAACCCCGCCGAGCGCAATTATAGCGCCACCGAGTTGGAATGTTTAGCCGTAGTTGGGGGATCAGGAGGATGCAAGACTACCTGGAAGGGTATCGGTTTACCGTGATCACGGACCATCAGGCGTTGAAGTGGCTGCAGCAGCTCGAGGCCCCCACCGGCCGACTAGGTCGCTGGGTATTCAAGTTGCAACAGTTCGACTTCGACATCAAGTACCGTCGGGGGACACAGAATCAAGTGGCCGATGCGCTCTCACGGGAACCACAGCTCAACGCTATCATCAACCGATCAACGTGTTTCTGGTACAACCGGATACGAGCCCAGGTGGAAACGGAACCAGAGACCACCCTAGATTATGAGATTCGGGATGGACAGCTATATCGCCACGTGCTACACGATCTTGACTTCCGACACACTCCTCCGGAGGAACAGTGGAAAAGATGCGTGCCGCGCGACCAACGACCCGAAGTCCTGCAGCGGCTACACAACGAGCCCACAACAGGACACCTGGGGATATCCAAGACCATCGCCCGGGCCGCCCAGCTGTTTTATTGGCTCGGCATGTTCCGGGAAATCGATCGGTACGTACGCCGATGCCCGAACTGCCAGGCGTACAAGGTGTCGCAGCAACGGCTGGCTGGCCTCCTCCACGCTACCCCCGTCACGGCACCATGGCAGCAGGTTGCCGTATATCTGGTGGAGCCCCTACCGAGATCCCGACGAGGCCACACCTGGCTCCTTACGGCCTAGGACCGCTTCAGCAAGTGGCTGGAGCTCATCCCCCTCCGCAAGGCAACGGCGCGACAGTTGGCCGAGGGAATCACCAGGCGAGTCATCTACCGGCACGGGTGCCCCGATCAGATCCACTCCGACAATGGGACGCAATTCACGTCCCGAGAGTTCAAGCAACTATTGGCGGGGTTCGGGGTTGAACATCGCACCTCTCCGGTGTATGCGCCCCACTGTAACCCACTGTAGAGCGAGCTAACCGGACCATCAAGACCATGCTCGCCCAGTACGCCGGAGAACATCACCAGGATTGGAACGGCCACCTAGACGCGCTGCAGTTTGCCATAAATACCGCACGCCACGAAGCCACGGGGTACACACCGGCATACCTAAACCATGGGAGGGAGCTAGCACGGCCTCACGTGGCGGACCGACGCGAACCGGATCAGCAAGAACCAGGACAACGCAGCCAGCAACTGAAAGAAGCCTTCGAGCTCGTCCGTGTCTACCTGGCCCGTGCCTTCCAGAAACAAGAGAGGCACTACAATCTTCGGCGCCGTGCATGGCGACCGCAACCGGGGGATCAAGTCTGGAAACGAGAACGACATCTCTTCCGGAAGAGCAAGGCGTTCAACGCGAAACTCGCCCCAAAATTCAGCGGACCAATGGAGGTCCGTCGCCTCATCTCACCGGTCATCGTAGACCTCCGGGATGCACACGGCAAGTTGCACGACACGTACACATCCAAGACTTAAAGCCTGCCGGAGCAAGGGAGGCAATCGCTCCAGACAACGAACACGACGTGGAGAGTGACGACGAACAGTTTTTCGAGGAGCCATAAACCCTAAGATAAGTATATTGAATAGACTCTAGCTATCGTTATCCTAGACAAAACCGCCGAAAAATCCTAACGCAAAAACTTGTTTACCACATTCTAGCGCGCCCCCACCCTGCCAACCGGAGTATATAGGGCAGCACGAGCCACACGATCGGCCTAGTCCACGATGAGTTTCCAGTGGAAACAATCCAAGAGTTGTTCGGCGACGTCTCCTCGTCCTCCGACGACAGCGGCGGGAGGTGGAAGCGGCAACCAGCGCCCGCACCACCGACATCAGCACGGGTCGCACACGTGCCCCGACCCGGGCCGAGCATCCAGCGCTCCGACGTGGAGACAAGGCGGCGGGCGATCATCCTCGCTACCCCGCCTCCCCCGCGAAAGACGAGACACGGGCCAGGGATCTTAATGGCGCTGCAACGCCAGGCTCGGGCAAGCGCACCACGCCGCCCGCCCGCAAGGACTGGACAGCAACGGGGGCCCAACGCCTCAAACCCCGCAGCCATCGAGCCCCGGACCTGGAGCCTGGCCGCCACCACCAGCCAAGCAGCAACCGGCCGACCAGCCGGCCCGCCTGCACCCGGACTGACGACCAACCACCGCGCACGTCCGTCACCGCCGCGTCCGCCGAACACCGCCGTCCACCCCCTCGTAAAAAGGGGGGTAATGTGACGACCCATTAGGAGGCGTCACTAATTGCGCCGGGCCTGACAGCTGCCCGACGCGCCAAACCGACCATCCGCCAGGCACGTGATCCATCCCCTCCGGAGGGATGCCCGCCGCACGCGAGGAAACGCGTGGGGGGAACAGCACCGGTATATAAGCCGGCTCGTCCGGAGAGCCGGCACCAGTCCTGTTCCAGATCCTAACCCTAGCACCAGGCCTCTGGGTGTCCCTGAGGCTTCCCAGACCAGATCCTACGACAGTCGACGGAGACGGGAGTACCCGCTTCGCTGCCTGGGAGTTCCCGACGTTCGACGTTCCTGTGTACGACCGACGGAGGTGGGTTTAACCCCTTCGCTGCCTGTGAGTGCCCGGCATTCGGTCTCCTGTGTCCGGCCGACGGAGGTGAGTTTGACCCGTCCGCTGCCTGGGGGTATCTGTCGTTCGGCTCTCCCGCAGCGCACCGCGCCGCCGCCCGCGGCTTCGCGACCGAGGGGTTGTTCGTCCGTCCGCGCGTTAGTAATAAGTCCGTGTGAATAACAGTGTGCCCGTCTTCTAGGTTAAGTATGTACATAGTGTAAATAGTAATTGAATAAACCATTTGTAACGTTAAAACCGTGTACGCAAGTTTGGCCTTCCGCTCCCGAAACCTGGTTCCGGCGAGCCGTCCGAGGAGAACCGAAATCCGCACCGTTACAAGTTTTTCAGCAGACTTGTTATTCCCACATTTCTGTTGCGATCAATCTCCACACCATCAAGCTCATAGCGAATTTCGTCAAATATGAATGCGACGCAATTATTTCCCAGCGTCACATTAGATCCTTCAACTGAATGATTTATCCGCAGTTCTCCCTCGATGTAGAGGAAACTCTCATACGGCAACGTATATAAATTCTGTTGTTGTATGGGTATTTTTATCTCGTCGCTGTGTTTAAATGTTGTGTTGGCAAACGGGTTGTATGTGTG